GACACCCTCACTCTGTAAATACCAAGATCTCTGTGATTGTTCCACTTATTTAGGGAAAGGTGGGGGTTTAGCATTGGAGGAGAGGAAAGAAGGCAGCTTCTGCAAATGAGGGAATGTCTAGCCAGAACGCTCCGAATAATTTTTGCCTGTCACTGTCACCTGCCTGAAGTTGGCTTCGGCTTCACGTGCCCGAGATGTACCTTGGCCTGGAGTGGTAGAGGTGCCCTTAACGTGAATGTATTTTTCCAGAAAAATGCATTTCGGCCAAGCTAAGACTCCGGGAAGATCATTAGGGAGGAAACTAAGACATCTCGAAGCCATTCGAAGGTGAAAAATAATTCCATAGGAAGCACAACGATCTTAATTAAATATTAGCTGTAATTAGCCCAAAGTGCAAATGTTGGGAATATTAATTAGGGTCTCTCTGGAATGGATGTCAATGTTAATAAGAAACTGTGGGGGGTCCCACCAACATCTGTTTGAGAACTCCAGGAACAGGAGTGCAGCCCAGCACCCCGTGGACCTGAACACTACCGCAGGCTTCTTGGCAAACACGGACACGGTTCATCAAGCTTGGTGCCCTGGCTTGGCCAAAATGCCACAAGGTTTGGTAGGAGTTGATGCTTTATCCTGGCTCCAGTAGGGCTCCCAGCTGATCCTTGCCTTTCCTAGAGTGGCCTCAGAACCTTTTGGAACGAGGCCTTGGGCTCGAGATGGCACAAGTTAACCGGGCTGGGGCTCTAACCCTCGCCAAGGGTTAACGCCCTAATTGGGCTAATGGAACGTCGGCATGTTTGAATCAGATACCCCAGCACCTGGCTTCCCCGCAGGGTGTAACACACCACCGGGGGGAAATAGGTCTTGGGGCGGCCATGGTGTGTAAGTGACAGAGAGAGGGTTGTTTATTTAAAACTGGGAACGAACCTCCCCGCCAGGTGATAGTCTTGCCAGGTGAGAGACACCTGGGCACAGGATAACTTGGACTTTGGATCAGCTCCTGGCTTCCCGCAGAGCTACCTGTGGGTGCAGCCTTGCAAAGTTATTTACCAGCTCTGGGCGGCAGTAACAATAAAATAAAGTGGGACTAGAGGTGCAATCTCAGTGGGACTGTGCGAGGCAGGCATCCCACCCTCCACGCGATTGCATCTGGGGCTGGATAATCTTTGGCGGGGGGGTGGGTGGGCTCCCCTGTGCCCGGTAGGCTGTTGTTGCAACATCTTTGGACTCCGCCCACTAGACGCCCAGTCATGACAACCAAAAATGTCTCCAGTCATGGCTTAATGTCCCCTGGGGAACAGTCACCTCCATTTAAGAACAGATGCAAAGTACCCAAGACAGTGCCCGGTACCTACTAGGCCTAAAGGAAGACATCACTCAGTTTGTCTTCTGAACCCACTAGCGAAGAGGGGGATGCCTTTCCGATGGAGCACGGAAGCCATCCTGGGTCTTCCTCTCCTAGGCCCACTGCTGCCGAGCTTGAAGCCCGTATGTGTGCACTTGCCTTTACAATCCAGAGGGTCTGTGCTGCAAAGCAAATTCTGACAAAGCTCCCAACTCACGCTTTTTGCACCATCCTTGGCAATGCCGACCTCCAGGTCGGGTGGAGCCATTCTCCTTGGTTTAGTTCAAATACGCCCCTCTCTCTCCCTGCTTTACGGCCAGCTTTATTTCCTGCCCTATTTATGCAAGCATGGCTTCTTAGTTGGCATCTCTATATTGAACGATACTCTGCCACAGAAAGTAGAAAAATTTTTCGGCAAAGGGCCAGATAATTAAATAGTTTAGGCATTCTGGGCCATAGGGTATCTGTCCCAGCTACTTGACTCTACCATTGTAGAAAAATGTGTGCGTGTGACTGTGTCCCAATAAAACTTTATTTACAAAAACAAATAGTGGGCCAGATTTCTCCCGTGGGTCATTTGCCAATTCCTCACCTACTATCCTCCCCGCCAACTATCTCTTGCTGCCAAATTAAGCTTGACAGAGCCCATAATTTATTAGTCAATCACGCATTCACTTAGCAAACCCTTGTAAATGCCTGCTTTGCAGCTAGCATGCTGCTGAAGACTGGAGACAAAACAGAGAATGTTACACAGTCACCTGCTCTCAGGATGCTCACAGACAAGCAGGCAATGGCAGTACTTGGAGTTACATGAGATGCGGCCACCAGCTGCAGCGAGGTATAGAAGGCAGGTGACTGACATGGTTTAAGTTTCCGTGAAGCCTTGGCGGGGCAGAGAGCTCTTGAGGGTCATGAAGGACACTAGAGACTAGCCAGGCAGGGGTCAGGGGAGGGCTTCTCACGCAGAGGGGCCAGTGGATGGGAAGACTTGATGGAGCTTGGAGGATAGAGCGACCACAGGCTTCCTGAGGGCAGGCCTCTCTCTCCAAGACAGGGAGAGCTCCGATCCTAGCAGGGGGGCCTTGCAGTGTTTCAGGAGCTCGTGGGGCTGGGTCTCTCTTCCTGAGATTGCTCTGTAGTGAGGCAAGGCCACACGGGCATACGCGTCCCCACAAAAGTGTTTTCTGCCGGAGGAGGCGCAGAGAAACCTTTGAGCTTCGTGACCATCTCTCTCTACCACTGCATCTGTGGTCAGCTCACCCACTCCTACGAGACCACACCTGGAGTTCTCACAAGTCTGTCAACTCGGAGATGAGCCAGGTGGAAGGTAGGGGAGGCTGAAACAGACCTTTGGGCAGAAGTGGAATCTGTCACAATGAATTTCTCTCTGGAAGGTTCTTGAGGTCCCAAATTTTCTGGGGCTTCTTCTCAGCCAGAAAGAAAAGGCATCCGAATGGAGTTGCTATAAATAAGAATATGTTTCTCGCACAGCCCTGCAGAAGAGAAGGATGCTCATTGGCTCATAAACAGTGGAGCTTTTGGGTTGTGAGTAACAAAAGAACTAGCTTAAACAAAATAAGACATCTACTGACTCATGTAACTAAAACAAACCATGGCATTATTAGCTACAGGTAAAGCTGGATCCAAGACTTCAAATGATGTCAACGGGACTCAGTTGATCTGTTTCTCAATTTCTGGGCTCTTTATTGCTCCGGACTGGCAAGAGACAGTTTTTGGCAGCCCCAGGCTTCCATTATTTTTACAGCTGCCAATCACAGTTGAAAGAGAACTTCCTCCCCAAACGCCAGCAGAGGCTCAGAATTAAGCCTCAGTGAAGTTCCTAGGGCTTAACCACTAACTGCGTTAGATAGATGGACGTGAACCCACATCCCCGGGACTGAGAGCAGAACCCTCTGATTAGCTGGGCCAGGTCACGTGACTATACCTAGAGGTAACGGGAAGCGGGGCTCACCCACATTTGCAATAGATACCTAGGTTGAAAGCAGACGTGTCCCCTGAAAGGAAACCAGGCACTATCCTTGAGGAAAAGTGAACAGTGAGCAGCAGTGACAGATGTCCTCTGTGGGTTCCTAGGGACGGACAGGGTTAACTTTTCGTGTCTAGGGATTCAACCACAGCACAGACAGAAGACCCTGCACAGCCCCCAATGCTACGAAAACATGCTGGAAAGAAAGAAATGGCTTCCAACAGCACAGACATTTGGAGAAATTACTCTGAGGGAGGAATAGGCCTGATGGGAATGTTTTCACGTGTGAAATGTTTTAAACTATCGGAAGCCGAGTTCTCTTCAACGTGTCATCTTTAACATTCTAATTAAGGGCCCCTCTAAACAAGTGCGCCCGCTCTGCGCGCGGCTCCAAGGATACGCTGCTTTTCCCCCGCTCCGTGTCACGAGGGTTTTGCTGTGCTCCAGTCACTTTAGCCGAAGAGGCTCTGGAGCGGTGGCGGCGAGGACGAAGGAGGTTTGAACAGTTCTGACATTCTCGCTCTGCTATCAGTGAACGAATGCCGAAGTCACATCTAATTGACTACAGACAACAGGAGAGGCAGCTGTTTGGTGTGCTTAATTGCTAAGCTTTTTTTTTTCTCCCTCTCTCTTTCTGACTGCATCTCTTGACACCGCGGAAAATTCGGACCTCTGGGTTACAGTTTCTGGTGTGTGTGTGTGCGTGCGTGCGTGTGCGTGTGCGTGCGTGCATGTGTGCGTGTGTATAGGGTAGGGTAGTAGAGTTATGAGGGTGGGGGTGGAGGTGGGGGTGGAGAGAGATAGATGTTTCCTGAAATGGAAGCATTTGAATTCAGGTTTTTTTTTGTTTTTTTTTTATTCTTTTGCCTTGACTGTAATTATCACGCTGCATGTTTTGCCTAGATCTGAAGGGTGAATTGTTATGTAATACCCTGTGCTTATAAAAAATAAGGCAGGAGGTGGGGGAAGGCATTGACTAATGAGGCTGAGTTAAGTCCAGTACTTTGCAAAGTTACTTAAAATGGGAATATCACAGAGTGCCATCTTTGTCCAAATTAGTCCCTGAGTTTTCATTGGCTGCTTCATATCGGCCTTGGGCACATTACACATGCGCACACACGCACGCGCACACACGCGCGCGCGCACACACACACACACACTGTGACCATTAAAAGGACCTCCCCATCCCATTCTGTGAGCCAAGTCACATAAAACTTTGATTAAATTCAGTTGCTTAGATGAATTGTCTCTCAAGAACACACACGTTCCATTTAATCTCTCTTGGCGTTTTAAGTATCAAATCGGGGCTCTGCTATCACTGGAGTCAATTACATGCTCACGTGTCTCCATACGGGAATGAAATGAGGATGCTCAGCCAGCAAAGTCCAGTCCAGTGGAACACGGCCCCTCGCAGTCTTTGGCTGTCCCGTCAATGACATGGAGAAAGCGGCTACCCCTCTCTCTGAGCTTTGCTTTCTGCGTCTGTACGACGGGGTCACTGTAAATGAGGGGTAGTACCTCCTTGTAGAGTCTGGTGAGGATTAACCCGGACGCCTCCATCGCGGGCTCTTGGCGCAGTGCTGGCCCCTTACAGAGTGTCCTCGGGGCCTGGGGAAAGGGTCTGCTTGGTGCCCACTCACGCTTTTCTCTCCCTCTCTCCACCTCCAACAGGGTAATCAGGAAGCAGCAGCTGCCCCTGACACAATGGCTCAGCCTTACGCTTCGGCCCAGTTCGCTCCCCCTCAGAACGGCATCCCCGCGGAATACACGACCCCTCACCCGCACCCCGCGCCAGAGTACACGGGCCAGACCACGGTCCCCGAGCACACGTTAAACCTGTACCCTCCGGCCCAGTCCCACTCGGAGCAGAGCGCGACGGACACCAGCGCGCAGACCGTCTCGGGCACCGCCACAGTAAGTGGACTCCAGCCTCTGGGGGGGCCGGGGGGAAGGGCAGGGGCCCCGGCGTCCTATCCAAGCGTCCTGCCCACAAAGCGGCGCCTCAGCCAGTCGTCCTTCCAGCTCCGCCAAGGGTTCCTGATCCACAGGCAACCTCGCCTGCGGGCATTGAAATCGACACATTTTTCCCCTAACTTCGTTGATTTGTAAAGGGAAACGTTCGTCTACTGTCTGTTCCTACAGTCATGCCTTTTCGGGAATGATGTCACCTCAGTGGGATCATACACTATAGTAACCTTTTTTTAAAAAATAAAAAATAAAACAGCTTTAGGGAGATGTCATTTACACACTGTAAAATTCACCAATTTTACACGTACAATTAATTCACTGATGTTTTAGTGTATTTAAAGAGTTATGCAAGCATCGCCATAATTCGATTTTTATTTCCGTCACCCCCCAAGACAAACCTTGTGCCCACTTGCAGCCACCCTGCATTTCTGCCCCAGCCCTCCTTAACTGAGCCTCGTGCATTTGAGATTCATCCATGCTGTTGTGTGGGTCCCTTTCTCTTCTGTTTTATTGCTGAGCCCCGGGGGTGGGGGTGGAGGTGGGTGGTCAGAGCAAGGGGGAGGGCGAGGCCTGGACTGCAGAAGGGCAGAGAGAATTCTGAGGGCGAAATTGTTCTGTATTTTGATATTGGTTACACGACTCCATGTTCCAAGAGGAATACGTTCGATTGCTGGCGAATGACCTCAATGAGTTAAAAACAAACAAAAAAGAAACATTTTAATGCCACGACCAATGAAAACTAATGTCATCGGCTATTAATCAAAGATAACCTCAAGCAAAAATAATTATTAAAATTAATGTTCATTGGTGTACCACCTAAGATAACCATGCATACCACAAGACAACTGGAAAATCTTGCCCTGCAGAATTCTGTAGAAACCTGGGCACACCAGGACTCTAGTCCAGAACATTTTGTAAGTGAGAGGCAATTGTGCCTCTTTCTCCTGCCCCCAGGCCTCTGGAAAACCAGTATCTGTGAAGAAATTAGTTTGGCTTGAAGCAAGCTATATTTTTGGTAGCTAAAAGCAACCATTGACTAACTTCACTACCTGGTACCTGACCTGGAGGTTAGGTTTGGAGATTTTAAAAATAATATACATTCTAAAATTTTCTACTGCTTCCCCCCCCACCTTATTGTATTGTGCAAAACATAAGAGTTACCATTTTTACCATTTTAATGTATACAATTCAGTGGCATTTAGTACATTCACAGTGTAACACAACCATCACCACTGTCTAGTTCAGGAACATTTTCATCACCCAAAGGGAAACTGTATGTCCATTAAGCAGAACCCCCACCCACCGAACCCCCCAGCCCATGTCAACCACCAATCTGCTTCCTGTCTGTATGGATTTGCCTCCTCTGGGTGTTTCGTAAAGATGAAATCATATAACATATGACTTTTCCTGTTCGGCTTCTTTCCAATACTAAAACGTTTTCAAGGATCATCCGTGTTGTAACATGGATCAGCACTCACTCGCTCCTCTTTATGACTGGATACCGTTCCGTTGTATGGGTAGACCACATTCCATCCATTCGTTTATGGGCACTTGGGTTGTTTTCACCTTTGACTCATGTGAAAAGTGCTGCTATTGCCTTTTTGTATCTTGCTGCTATAACTTAGGGGTCAGTTTATTAAGTGGGTTCATTGATTTTGCAAGTATTTCTGTTGTATTGACCACCAGGTGGTAGTGATGCTCTGTTGTTTATTTGCTCGTTGGTTATTTTGTGATCATCAATGGTGGTAGGGCTCGAGGAGGCTATATTCGGCCTGAAAAAAAGGTCCAATCAGATATTACTTATTAAGCCTCAACATGTGCCAACTATACCAACTGTTTTGGAAGAGTCGTTCATTCATTCACGTATTCACTTACAGACATTTATTAAACCTCTCCTATGGCTAGGGCACATACTACCTGCTGTAATCGAACTACACACAGAGTCCTTTCCCATTTGGTAACTTAATGTGAGAGGCAGAGGGAGAACGTGGCGATCAAGCTATATAAACACAAATTGTGACCCATAGTCTCAAGGAAAAGACAGGTGCTAGGGGAGAGTAAGAAAGAGCAGAGGTGCTGCCTGCAAATGAGCAGCCTGGGACCCCTTCTTCAAGGAGATGACATTTAAGGTGAGAAGACAGAGCTTTCCAGGCAGAAAGACTAGCAAGGTCAAAG